TTGGATTTTCAAGGGCATCGAAAATCAATGCGAAAAATTCATGCTAATTCAGTAGCAATTTTTTTACAAAGTGCGGATTTACATGCGGCCCAAAAGAATCTCGTTCGAAAGCTAGCATCCCGGGGTAACCGACTTATTATGGACATATACTGGATGAACATTATTTCTGTAACATTACTTACGTAATCTTTTCGAAACGAAAATACACTTCAGAAATGTGGTTAACATTTAATGTGTTAGCCTGCCTACTGTATGATGTCTCCTGGGATCGAAAGCCCATTTCGAAATTTCTGTAAACATTCAATGCACTAGCACATTTACTGTAGACTGCAGTTACTGCGATCACAGGTATACAAAGTTTTCCCGCTTGACGCAGGCATTCTCACTCGAACCCATCATCAGGAACGATCGCGGACGGGTTGGAGTGAGAGTCCGTGTTATCAAGTCAATAAGCGCTCTCTTTCCCCCGGACTGCTGCTAACTCATTCCATAGTTAATATCTGACACGCGCACCTTCATACATACAAAATACACTTCCTCAGGATAAGTAAACGAGGTCTATAATAATAATCTAAGTCGAGTGCAGCACGCGACCTTCTTGAGGGTGTGGATGTTGGGATGTGGACTCAGGTTGTCGATTTTCCCACCCGAGACTCAAGCATACTTGACCTAATTTTCTGTAGAGGCTGCATGCCATCGTCGGTGTCACCCCTAGGCCCACTGGGGGGCTCAGACCATGACATAGTTGTTTCAGCGTTGGAATTCGAGGCTGACAAAACGTCTTCCAAAAAGTATAATTTTTTCCGCGATTCCCAATCAACTCGCTCAACCGATTTATTAACACACCTTAATTCCTCCGACTGGACTGATTTCTTCCTTACTTCGGATGTAAATGTTTGCACTGCAAATCTGTACGAAATTTTGGATCCGCTTATTTCTCGTTTTGTCCCCCGTAAGAAAATTATTAATGTTGGAGATGAGGTTTTCCTACCCTTACCCTTTCGTCGCAGATTGCGCAAGCTTTATCGTCGTTTCCATCTTCAGAACGATGTTTCTGTCCTGCCCTTGATTCGTGATATTTTTGATCGAGCTAAGAGATTGTCTGAAGAAAAACAGCTAGCCGAAGAGGGCCAGTTTACCGAAAGCCATTCGTTAAATGTCTCGAAACTTTTCTCTAGAAAAATACGAACTCATAGAAAGACGCAGCATCCCATCCTCCAAGACGCTTTCGGAAATGCCATAGTTGATGCCCAGTTAACCGCTGATAGCCTCAATGATTTCCTGTCCAAAACGGTCATTGAAGACTCGACCATTCCACTTCCGACCATCCAGGCATTGACCGGGGCAGTTCTAGAAACTATAACTTTCACTCTGTGGGATGTGACTGTTGCGATTCGGCGTTTTCGTCAGTCTTATAGTCCAGGACCTGATGGTGTCCCACTAAGCCTTTTAAAAGCCGATGCAAACACGATCTTCCCATCCGTCTTATGCAAGATATTTAATCTTGCTCTTGAAAGTGAAACTTATCCTACCTTGTGGAAGGAATCACACATTTTGTCCATTCCTAAGCACGGCAAATCTACATCATTTGATGACTTTCGGCCAATAAACACCCTCCCCGCAGTTTCCAAGATCTTAGAGACATTGATCAAGGATAAGATGATGCGTCACTTAACAGTGAATAACCTACTGTGTGCTGCTCAGCATGGATTCCTCAAAGCTCGATCTTGTGACACCTGTCAACTCTCTTACTTTGACTATGTTCTCCAATCTAGGGACAATGGTTTTGCTCTTTACACAGTATATTTCGATTTCACTAAGGCTTTTGATCGCGTTGACCATGCTCTTCTTCTCTTGAAATTGTCCTCTTTCGGAATAGGTGGCAAACTTTGAATTTAATATCCTCTAACCTTGGCACTCGTACACAACGAGTTAAGATTACCAATACCATCTCCAACCCCACACGTGTGAGGAGTGGAGTCATTCAGGGTAGTGTACTCGGCCCGCTTTTATTTTGCCTTTTCGTTAATGATGTATCCGATTAATTTCAGAATGGTAAGCCTTTCATGTATGCCGATGATCTTAAGGTTGCATATCGATATAAGCCGGCAGATCATGACATCGTGCTTGAGCTCTTAAAGAGCGATCTACAGGCTTTCGCCCAGTGGTGCCGCACATGGCGCCTTTCTCTTTCTTGGCATAAGTGCTCAGTCATGGTGTTTGGCGATGACCACCAACCTCAACTAAATATTGAAGGTCACTCCATAAATGTGCCCAGGGTTATTAAGGATCTGGGCATATCATACTCCAAGAGTCTCAATCGCTCGGAGCACTGTGCCTTGATAGTCTCCAAAGCACGCAGAACGACCGGGTTTATCCTCCGAAATTTTAAAACTAGGGACATTAGAATGCGCCTTTTCAACATGTATGTTAGACCTGGTCTGGAATACTGTTCGTTTTTATTTAGCCTCATGCGTGCTACTGAGCGAAAGAAAATAGAATTCGTTCAACACTTTTTTACCAAGAGAATTTTAGCCGCGGAACACCGACATTCGTCTTACCAAGAACGTTGCCGGCTCACAGGCCTTAATCCTTTATGGTTCCGTAGATTACAAAAGGGACTATGTTTGCTATTTAAACTCTTATATAATCACACATTTAACCCACTCACTTCTTTAAGACAGCATATCCACCCACGACGTAACAGTCAGCGTGAGGTCTTCTTATTTCTGCCTCTGGCACGTACTGTTAAATATCGTCGGTTTTTTCTGTAAATGCAATTGCTATTTGGAATAAACTACCCATTAGTGTGAAAACTCTGCAAAATTATCCTTTATTTAAGAGAACTATTACTCGATATTTGCATTCAGAAAAGCTCCCACAAATTTTGGGTTCTGAATCCACTGATCGACTCTACCGTAGCGATGGCGTTTGTGGTCTCTGAACATTATGGCCGGTCTCACCAGCTGTTCCTCAACGCCTCTACTTTGACTATCCGCAACTTCATGAAAGGAATTGACGTCCGATAATCTCCGATACGGTGCAACCCCCTCACTCCTTCTTGACGGTCGAAAATCTATAGTCAGCAGTTTTTTTTCTCCTGAACCCTCCAAACCACAAAAACCACCATCAACTATATTTTTATTCCTCAGGAGTTTTTTTTCACTGCTAGTCGGATTTGTTTTTAATCGCTTCCCTTGACAATGCCTGTAAACTGGCATTTAATACATTGAATTGAAATGTTCAAAATTTGTTAATTTACACCTTTCCTTGTGATTTTTTGTTCTGTAGAATTCGTTTTAAGGACTTTCGCATATCAGACTTAGAGAGATCAAATCGTAGTACTTAAGGAAAGTAGTTTACCACGTCAGTCAGCTGCCTAGGTATCTTAATTGGTAGGCCATACCTGTCCAATGTATTCGTAAATGCCTGGTATTGGTATTTGAATAAATCGTATAGCCGCAATGTCGTCCGCAGGTTTTTTCGACTGAACTGCTTTACCGTCATTACTTGCGTTCCACCAAATACTTCCCTAATCATTCTCCTATCACATCAGTTGATTACTCCATTAACCAGAGTGTAGGCAGGTTCGGAGTGAGCGCCATCATCTTTTCACAGCCTCCGCTAACCCTTACTTTGGATTGGATATGCCTGCCGGCACAGCATACTCAATACTACATTCAAGTCCTACCTGACCTTAGCCACACGAAAGTCAGCGAACTTGTCTTACCTAATCTACCGTTTTCCGCACTTGCTCGTCTTTCCGCCATGGAGGTCGCAGGCGTACGGTGGACTGCACAATGAAGCCCTTTGGCCACGCATCCGGTACCTCCCTGTGGTTGTCGTTCTCCGAAATGACGACAAAACCTCTGCCATGAACTTCTTCTGCACAGCATGACTCATACCTGCCGATGGGTCAGCCCGCAGACCAATACGGTTCATGGTGTAACCCGGCCAATAGCGTTAACGCATGATGTGCTAGGTCTCTGAATAATAATAATAATAATTTTTACTTAATGCCACTTTACAGGCATTGTCAAGGGAAGCGTTAAACACAAAGCCTGCCTTCTCACAGACGGCTTTCTTAGCCTAAAGGTAATTAATCGGTTCTTTTGATGAATTAAAACCAATTTTTGCGAAAACGTAATATTTTAACTATTGCGCACTATACTTCTTGTCGCTCGGCAGGTTTAAGAGGCCCACCCTTACAACCCCTCCTACCGCCATTCCCGTAAGAGAGGCAGACGAGGGGAGACGTTTTTAAAGTGTTGCGACACTGTTTTCACGTCCCGAACTCTAAGTAGGGGACGTTGCGTTTCTTACAAGAAAAACAACGACAACAAAAAGAATATGGGAAAGACGGCACAAGTAAATAATTGCACACTCACGAAAAATATAGCCTTCTCCAGTATCAGTTGTCGTAGCGTGAATGTTCTGGGTAAAGTCCAAAAGGTTCCAGGCTGAAGTCAGTTGCCAGAGCTTGTTGCTCAGGTGAACTAAAGCCAAGCAAGATATGACCCGGGAATAAAAATGTTTCGTGGCAATTGACTAAAAAGTATTGAGGCACAAGAGCGCAATCAATGGATTAGTGGCGTCATGCAGCTGACAGACACAAAGCACACGTTACTGCAAGCCGAAACCGATTGCGTGTTCTTCAGGATATTCAAACAACAGTACAGAAAAGTTCAGGTGTACAAGAAAGCTTAACGTGAAAACTCGAAAATGTACACAGACCTACATGTTATACCGGTTAGGGCCCTGCGGTGCATTCGTCCTTTAGATGTTTACCTTTAGTCTGTTCCGTTGCGCCCCACAATGCTTGACATTTCCTTCGGACGCGTGAATTTTCTTAAAATAAAATAACAGAGTTTTCTGGGCAGCTAATTCCCTGATAAATTCTACACTTTGACTTCTGACATGCTGACTCGGAAGGTGGAACTTTTAAGTCTAGCGAGGCTGGGGTGGATTGGTGTGCGTTTAGCTGACTGTAGTTCGAAGCCATGTTTTCGTGGAGAGCTACTTCTAGTCCATCTTCAAGCCGAATTTTTACAGGCCCCAAGTTATGCGAAGAGGTGACGTGTCTCCTTTAATTTCTAATTTTTTACAGGTCCAAAATAGTCCCCGTGGCACTACAGCAGTTCCCAAACCGGAGATGAATAAGCCATGTGCCAATGGATCGGTACATTGCAATTTGTCACACTGAATGTTTTAGACTAGCATTTCTAGCCTCTCTCAAACCATAGCTTCTCTGAAACATCATATAAACGATAACAAATTTGACGATGCATTTAACCTGTGCATTGGCACGCTGAATACCACTCGACACATAGACAGGGCCACATTCTTTAACTCTGCACTGGATTTGCTTGCAGTAAGTTACAACTACATCCCCCCATATTTCCAGCGCGTTTCAAATTCCTCTTCACAGGTTAGCTGGCACGACGACAGAGAGTTCCTTCGTTGTGTTGCATTAATGGAGCTGCCCCGTCTGACTGCCCACACGGCTTGTATAACTGACCTCTGCACAAACCTCCTACAGCTCGACCGTCAGTTGTCGTTGTTTAAGGAAACTGAAGGCTCATTCGAGGAGCACCTAAGTGGATTTATGCGGATCCGACTTCTCTTCTACATCGGAGTTTTCCTTCTTCGCGTTTATAAAAAGGTAATTTTGAGTGGGTTCGGGAGATCCTTCCCTTGCCATATCTTGCTGACAATTATTACTGTTTCTTGCTGGTTATTTACAGCGTGCGCCTGAAATTGTCCTGCCACTACCAGGACGTTCTATACGATCATAGTTCAAGTTTCACTTCACTGAGTGGTCGGAAGCAGACTTCTCTTATTTCCTCTAACTATGCCCGCCTAACGAAGTATTTTCTGATGTCAACTGAAGTAGAACTAGAAAATGTTTCGGGCTTCATACTGAACTACTTATCTCCGTATAGTGCAATTGCCTGTGCGTCTATGTATTCAAATGCATAATCAGATTCTTTGCCCCAAAGCGAGTAACATCGGTTTACCCAACGCCTTTGCTTCGAACTCGTGCTCTTTCCCAACTTTCAGAAGAGGAGTGACCGCTTCCGGGATGCATCCTTTGCCTACTTCCGTCTATGTGCCGTGGAGAGAGTTCAACCGATTAAAAACGCACGTCTCCTGAACGAACACTTCTGGGATTATACTTACACCGAAAGCCTTAACCTGCAACTTCAAGCAGCGAGCATTTCTCAGAGTTCAGTACAGCTGCTGAGTTCCGCCCAAAATTTTGATAAAAGCTCTAACACTCCCGGCGAAAAGTCCTTGCCGCTGTGGAAAGCCGTGATGCCCTCCGCGCTTGCCGAATGCAACCTTGAGAACACAGAAAAACCATTTAGCTATGTTTTGGACGGCAGTTTCGTGGATAAAGCGATGCACGAACAGTCTGTGCAACAGGAGTACGTCGAAGGACTTTTTAAAGGTTTGTTCTTTTTCCGTCAATACTCGTCTGCCTTAATTGTTTTGCAAGGTCCTCCAGTACTAACATACTGTGTTTATCTCCTCAACTAGCCTGTCAATCATCATGCAGACCACTACGTGCATGACTTAGTGTAGTGTTATCTTCTGCACCAATTGGTAAAAGATAGTGTTGGAAGCGGTGTGCCTTTTTAGTAAAGGTGGCCTTGTGTGTTATTAAGTATTTGATTTTCATCTGGATACAGTAATGGCCTCTCGAACTCCATTCCCTGCTCAGTCTGTAAATGTGATGTATTCACTACGGACTGTCTTCCTGCAAATATTGAGACCCTGTTTTTTGAAGTTGCCATGATGTGTTCTCCGGCCACTATGCTATCTACTGTTAGATTGGCTGCTTCTTGGTGTAAGACTGATAAAAGTGTGACTACCCTTGCACGCTTACTTATTTTAAATAGTTTTGTGGTTTTAGAGCTGCTTTCGCGTAACCCCGAGGACCTGAACATCATCATGTGGTTTCTGCTACAGTCAACAGGCAGTTGCCCTTCTGATTTACAAGATGGTGCCTTCCCCGAAGGCCGTTTAAGACTCCTATGTCTAAGTAAGTGCGTAAGTTTCGTCATAAACCCGTTTCACTAGTGATGTAGTGGTCAAATAGACCGCTCATTTCTGGGGCTTTTTAACTGCCGCCCCCACTTTCAGACAGTATGACCGAACTCTTGGTAAAACCGTCGCGGTATCAGGCGGACGTTTACAAGGCCTAAAAGGCAGAAAGTACGGAAAAGACCTCCCCTTTCAAGCTGGGCCGGCTATGCATGACTTACATAGTGTTAGGATAACAGGCGCCCAGTCCAGGTTTAAATCCTTATCGCAGTGGTCCTACCGGCTCCTGTAATCGGCTTTGAATTATAATGGACAGGGAGTCAGACCAAAACGGTCCATTTACACAGCGAAACAGCATCACCGAGTGTCACTCATGCCTCTCCTCCATTCTGTTGTCATCTCCCGAATTGTTGATATATGCATCCTGGCGTCAACTTTATACGAAAAGAGGCCTCTAAAGACGAGTTTCAAATAGTAGTCAAGCGTATTCAAGAGTTTAACCATACTGGACAAAGTGGGAATGCGAGGACGACGAATTTAGGGTCCCCGTCTACAGGGCATGTGCGCAGTATGAGGTCTTCGCACTGGTATTTGGTTCGGCTGCGATCATACCTGACCTAGACGGCCTTATTGAGGTCGCAGATCGTGCCCCTTCACGCGTGACGACTGACGGCAGTGCATTTGGATGGCCCGACGCATTTTCGTCTCTGTCAACGGACATGAAATACCGAAAATATACTGTGTTAAGCAGCCTTTGAGTCGGCGCCCACTTCGCCGCCACTAGTTAAGCAGTGGCGCATGCTCGACGGAGCAGTTGATCTCGTGAGGAGTCAAATAAAGATCGTTCTCAAATCACCTCTCACCATGAATGGCCTGAGGTATCCTCACGTTGTTGCAGTGATTATAACTGTCAATCGAGACGAAGTCTGTGTACTTTGATGATTTCCTGGCAACGGTGGCCAAATATCAAGTTTTCGCCGGCCGTTCACGCATACAATCCGTCATTTACGACCCCGCAAGAGGACGGACCGGGTAGATGCTCGGTACACACGGGCCTTTACGTCGAGGGAGATGTGGGGACTGATTTTTGGGTCTGGACTTGTGAAATCCCTTCTCGTAGTATCGATCCGAGTGACGATGTCCTTACTCTGTTTGCTTGGCGACTTCTTATCCCCGAGATACTTAAACCGGCTCTTTCTTCATGTCAACAGTCATTAGTTCAGATAAATGCCAGCTAGTCAGCAGTGCAGTTCGTAACCCCCTTATCCTTTCTAGCGTTGACAGTGTAACCCGCTGGCTTAGCGAAATCATTCGCACGCGTCATCACACCCCTTAAATCATAGTAGTTGGACGCCAGAAAAGCGGTATTGTCGGCGCAGCCTAGGTCTGTCACTGGGCGTCCGGTGCAACCTCAGCATTGCGTGGTCCTACAGAGAGTCCAGTAGATAGGCGTTGCAGAACAGGATGGGCGACGGAATGTAACCTTGTCGAACTCCGGGCCGAATTTCGAACCATTAGAAGAGGTTGTTGTGGCCCAGAACCCGTGGAGTGGTTGCGGGCCTTGATCGTGACGATAATTTTTGCCAGCATGCCATCTAGCTTAGTTGTCCGCCACAGCGATCGACGGAATCGAACGCTGTGGCGAAGTCAACGAGGCAGATGGCTATCGACTGTCGAGAGGCACGGCAAAGTTCAGGAATGCGCGCAGTGTAAGTATCCGGTCAATTTATCCACGCTCAACTCGGAACGCAGCTTGAATGTGTCCCGCCCCCGGGTCGCGCATACTGGTTTGTGGTAAGAGTCTTTGCGGGGACTTCGATAAAACTTAATCCGCGGTATTTTTTGTACTAGATTGTCTTTCCTTAAAGAAAGAATGGCTGAGCCCCAGTTATCAGTACTGAGTCTGTCTCCCCACGCCTGTTAAATCACTTAATGAAGTCAAGGCACCAGGGTTTTGACACTAGGTGTGCGAACTTCAGAGGGGTATTATCCTCTGAGTGTCTTGTTGTCACTCAATCTGGGTTGTCATAGGTACTAGGAGGCCTCATTGGATTCCGAATATACACCAGTCCAGTAAGTAACCTGCGTTGCATTGAAATGGCTTAGTAAGATGTTGGGTTACAGACACGTTTACGGCGTGAGTAAACATTTAACGCAGCTTATGACTCAGACAGTCTCATCCCCTCCCACCTCCCCCGATGATGCCCGGCCTGCAGCATGCGACTGAATTGTTCGTCTTTAAAATGTTTGCCATAATAGTGAAATTGAAAAACAATAAAACGCCTGCTGACTGCCGTCTGGCCCTTTTGGTGATATTAGCTGACTCTTAATTGGGCCGAAAACCCTTATTTGCAGTAATCTTGCCGTTATGCCTCCTCCGTGGGCTATGTGACAAGTCGTTGTGCATAAACTATGTTGGCAAATGCCTTCCTGAATTTACCGTTCTGGTCCTCGCAGCCATCTTCGTCAGTCTCGACCACTTAGTGTGAACAAATACAGCTTATGTGACCAATAGTAACCTCGACCTCTATGGATATTCCACGCACGCATGCTTTAGGGCTTTTGTCACAGCGTTTTGGTCCATGCCCAATGGCGACATCTGCGACTGATCCAAGTTTCCAGCTACACGATGGGCAGAGTTCCACAGCAAGCGTTAATAGACTACCCTCAAGCCACTATGGACCGCGGTACACGCAGTAAGCGTACTGACTATGCTGCCGACGTTACGCCACCGACTAGTGTTTTTATAGTTATGCACTGGCCATGCATCCCAAATGGGCTCAACTGCAGCTGGGATTGGTTCAGAAGTGAACTCTCCCAGATTTGCATCATAACCTTCCCACCAACTCATGTTAGGTGGTGGGGTAGTTAAAGGTTGCTGCGATAGTACCAAACGATGAGCTAGGTCGTTTGACTGTCGAGGCGAGCATGACTTGCGTTTGACACTTCAAATCATTGCAACCAGAGCAGGATCATCCACAAGAACAACCTAGGGGTATGATCGGACAGCTCGAGACGGTTGCCCTCTGATGGTAATAGAAACCTGAAAATGTTTTATCAGTCGTGCCCAAACCAGCAGTTTGTTTCTGTGGTTGCATATCCAGGAAACTGCAAGTAGTCCGTCGGTAACCCGACAGTTAACTGCACCCCTCCTCCCCTCGCCTAGCTCACCCTCTCCAACCGTGCTGACGTCAATCTAAAAAACGAACTCAACTCCTGTTGACACCATAGTGGCCATCTGTAAATGTGGGTTGGTCAAGGTGGGTCGTCAGTTCTTGGTGATCTACGCCTGCGGGAATTGCGAGCCTCAGACCGAGCAAGTATAGCAGAAAACTATCTTTGTCTATATAGTTAGCTTGAGACGTGGACTCTGCTAAACCAGACGTGGCACTTATGAATTATCCTCATCTTCTTGAACCGTTTATTACGAGCCACTGAAAGGCATTTGCTAAGTTTATCTCCGCGCAAGCTCTCTGGACCTGTGATTTGGGGTGGAGTTTTAAATGAGGAAAGAACGTTCATCGGGGTTTAACTTTCGGTTCTCAGTTTGTTTCCGCGGTATTACAGGTCTGCAATGACAAATAAGACGACGGTAATTGCAGCTTGTCCTTGTCAGTAAGCGCCTGCATGGGACCTTGCCAGAACGAACAGCAGTTTTACACCGCACTCCCTGTGTTCCGGCCTCAGGCGTTTTAGCTATTCATAAAACAGTCCACTGTAACCCCATGTCAGTTGCCCAACTGATGATCATATAAGAACGTGGACCCGGATGTTTTTGCTCCTCTGCCCACTGCGATCACAAAACACACTATTTCTCATTAACGGTCCCTCTGCAGATCAAGCTAATGCGCTCTCCCTGCCTCCTCCCTTTCTCCAACGCAGTCGTGTCAGAACTGTTCAAGCACCTGCCACTATGCACCAAGCCCGCACCGTGCCTGCCAATAGAAATCGGCGAATTTCCAGATAAGCAGTGCAAACACTTCGACCGTGCCTGCCAATTCGATGTCCTAGTCTTCCTGGCAGTCGTCTGTGTGACCTACCTTGCACGCAATGCTGCTTCATCGGACGCTCGCTTTCCCGGCGCACCATTCGCCGGAGTACAGAGGACCTCACAGGGTTCGGTAGGGACAACGACCCCCGTCTCCTGGCCCATCTTACCGCTCTGTCTGGTGAACGCACGCCTCCTGCCAAGCGGCTGTCAACGCCGCTGCTGGTCCCTCCTACGTGACGTAGAGGCTTCCGAGGATTCGAAGAAGTAGGTGACCAATGGCAGCCCTTTCGCGTGAACTTTTGCGCGCTTTTTCTGCTCTAAACCAATGTTCTACGCACTATTGTAGGTCACTGTCAGTTTTCCTGCAGCAGTTACGTTTTGCGGTCTCCCCAAACATGCCTGGTGCAGTCCGTCCCTCGGCACGTCTCATTCTGCGTATTGGTCATGTGTTTTCTCGCCTTGTTGACATGCCCGACAACAGTCTCCTACAGCAAGGGCAAACTGCTGAGGCCAGACATGAGATGGCTTCGTGGGCAGCCGGCCTCTATGAAATTGGTCTGTCTTCTCTGCAGAAAACCGGATCCCAGTTTGCGTCCCCGTTATCCGTGTATAGGTAAGCCTTTGTGGCATTTAGGATCAGTTTCTTTCTCGCACTCCATCCCTTCTTTCTTCTACCTCCTCTTCCCGTCTTATTTCTTTGTCACCATCATCGTCTTCCTCTTCTTTCATCCTATTACTCGTGCCTGCTAACCCTCGGTGTCTGTCGGTCTCGCCTGGGAAGTTGACGTCTTGTACTTCTTGGTAGAGTGGTCTACAGTAGGGGGACGATCTTTGTTGTCTCATATCCGATATCTCAGCCTCCAGCTACGAGCGCCGCGTTAAATTGGGATCGTTTGAGCTGCCGATGCACTCGAAGAGGCGATTTTCAGTGGACAGTTGAGGGAAAGGAGACTCGAATGTTCCCGACCTATTGTCCAGCCCATCATTAGAGAAGGCAACAGATAGGAGTAATGGACGCATGCTGGATGCAGTATTTAGAGGAACCAGTTTGTAGGGCACCACACATTCATCAGGATAGTCAGTTTTGGTATTCATCGCGAATATTCTAGCCTGGTGCGATAATACCTTAGTCGCCCGCATTCGAGTCGTGAATTACCTCGACATCATCATTAGTGTTGATGGTCGGCTTGGGTACTTATCCACTGCGAGAGTCCTGGTCCGCAACAATCTTTCCCAACCGTTCGGTATTCGGTCTGGTGTCCGACAGGGTTGTATCCTGTCACCCATACTGTTCAACTATGCTATTGACTGGATCCTCGGGGGGGCCCTACGCGACACTGACGGCGTTGAGTTTGCACCCGGACATCGACTGACTGATCTCGACTATGCCGATGATATCGCCTTACTTGCCTCAAGTTTTGGTGATCTGCAGTCTATGGTGTCACGGGTGAACGAGGTCGCTAAATCGGTCGGTTTGTCCATAAACGCTGGAAAGACCAAAGTGTTCTCAAGCTGCATCCCTGACCAGGAGAAGCCACCCCTCGGATTTACTGCCTGTCAACTTGAAGAAGTAGACAGTTTTAAATACCTTGGGGCGAGGCTGCTGCCTAATGGACAGAGTAAGGATACATTGTCTCCCGAATCGATGCTGCCCGCTGGGTTTTTTCAAGCCTTCGGAAATGCCTGTGGAACCGTTGGACCTCTCCGTCGCCACAAAGATTCGCGTGTACCGTGCAGCTGTCCGGTCTGTCCTTCTCTACGGTTGTGAATGCTGGGCTTTGTGCGTGGAGGACGTGCGAAAACTGGAGGTATTTGACCACCACTGCTTGAGGACCATCCTTCGAGTGAAGTTCACCGACTTCGTCTCAAATGAGACAGTCCGCGCTCGCTGCGACAACATAGCAAGGATAACTCAGGCCATCCAAGAAAGACGACTGAGGTGGCTCGGGCATGTTTTTCGTCGTCCACCTCAGGAGCTCAGTGTTACTGCCCTCGATCCGGCACCGTTGCCCCATTGGAGGCGTCGAAGAGGGGGTCAGTTCAAAACCTGGCTCGACACAGTTCGTCAAGACATGGAGGTGGTTCTTGGACCTTCGGTATTCGGTCTCCGTCGTTGGCGAAGGAAATGGGTTGAGCTGTCCAGATCTGCTGCCGCGGGTCGTCACGCGTGGAGAGGTACAGTTCGGGACATCATCGAGGCCGGCTAGATCAGGCATGATCGCAGCCGTATCAAGTACAAGCAAGTAAGTGCCCCTAGAACGGGCCGCGCACCTATAACAAGTGCCAACATCCAAGGTCAGGTGGCAGGCCCAGTTGCCGGCTTACGTCGCACTAATTAGTATCCCAGCCACCCCCACCCCCCATTGTTGTTTGTCAAAATCGTGACCAAGTGTTTGTTGTGTGTCAGCGGCTGTGGTGGTACGCCTAGGTGCGAGTTTACGCCGTGCCAGCCACCTGCGTCCTCTTTTGCCTCCGGTCTTCTTGACTCTGTCTTGACACCGGACCCAGGGGCAGGGGGGAGTGCGGTTGATGCAGCGCAAGTCTGCTATCATTATAATCTAATTTACGCGCAAGTCACCGTCCCTGCTCCCACCCTGTTGTGGAGCACACGGTGGACATCGTCGAAACCGACGTTTGAGCTGTCGTCGTGACATATCCACTATTGACAACTGAGCTCAGACAGGAGACAATCATAGGGCGCCGAATACTCGCTGCAGCGATAAGAAACGTCTGGAGTCGTTTACTGGATCTGTTGCAGCTGTGGACAAAGCAATTACTTCGGATAAACTGGGACGTTAATCAGAATGAAAATGGCCGAACGCGTAGCAGCAGTGAGGAGGAATGATGCCAACATCCAAGTCCCGACTCATTCAGCGGAGCCCAGCCATTGTCAAGTTCGCCAGGGCCGCAGATCTCGCGAGAGGTGACCAACGGGCGAGTTGCGAGTTGCTTGGCGCACCCACTAAATGTGCGTAAAGTAATTTGTCACGCTGGCCGAGTAATTATCACGCCAGTGATCAACGCTGGCGACAAAATTGAGGCAATCGCCGTGTCAGATGCGGGCAATCAGGCACCAAGTACGAGAATTGCGGCAGCGCCATGACAACTGCACTGCAACTCTTGTGCGTTCATCACCCCTGTCTTTCTCCTTTGCGGATGACGGGTTCCGGGTGTAAATCCAAAACGTCAGGCGCATAGTTTTTGTTTCAGTGATGGAGTCTCCCTCTGCCTCCAATCTCTGTTGAGTGCGTCGGAGTCGAGTCTGTGTGTGGGCTGCACGGATGCGGTACGGGTAATAGTCGGCGTTTGGGCGCGGGGACAGTATATGAACAAATGAGGCCAACTCGACGGGTCTTAGTCGGGACTCATCCCAGCGGTTCTGCGGTCGCCCTCGTTGGATCCACAATCATTGCTTGTCAGAGCATGTAGATGAAGCTGTTGCAGTAGGAGATTTGTGGCAGACATCGCTGCGACGTAATTGGTAGGGTTGGGGTACTTTTCGTGGTCCCGGTTTCACATCTGCTACATCGTACACTCTCATTTACACTCCAAGTGAAAGCCACAGATGCCACACGGCCAGACGGGGCAGCATGGCCCGCAGCTCGTTGAGTGACTGCGCTGCACTCCCTGGAGGGGTCCCGTTGAACACTTCCGACCAGCGTCAATTGGAACGCGCGACCAAAGTTAGGGTATATGTGTGGGGTCCCCTCAACAATGTTAATGTTTTGTCGTATGAGGAGGGGTTGAGTAGCTTTGTCGACATCATCGGAGATGCAAAGGTGTTCATGAAGGTCACTTTATAGCTCTAACTTAAGTTAACAGTAGGAGTATGAACGGAGGCGACGTGGGCGCGGGGCACTCCAGTCTTGCAAGGATGTCCGCTTGCCTTGACATCCTGTACTCGGTTGGCCTGCAGGGTAACTTCCCCAGTTCTTACGACCGATCGCTATGGTGTGCATGAGTTTTTCTAATCTCGGCTGATTCCCGGGTACATGAGTGAGGTCATCAAGGTGTCCATTTGCCGCCCCTTTTGTCCACCTTACTTACGTGCACCCGCAATAGCGTCACCACAGAACAGCCGTTTCGACAGCCTCTCACCAGCACATTTGCTGCCCGCGTCAGTTGTTTCCAGCATCCGGGTGTCTTGGATTCTTTTTTACCACTTCGTCTCCAGTACCATTCAGAGGCAGCTTACGTAAAGGTGACTAAGCCTTCTCGCCTGCTTTTGATAAACGCCCCACGTTCCCCGCCCCATAGGGGAACATTATCAGGACGACTGTTTTGTACATCCACGTCGTCACATTGAGGAGGGTGTCTTGGTGATATTCCAGACGAAATATTGTAACCTTCCGTAGCCCGTCGGGTTTTAAAACTCCGAGCTGCAATCTCGTTGTCAATTTTGGTATTCCGCGCGATGGGACGTCAGGTGCGGGGAGACTGCCGCTGACAGTCACCATGGGCTTGCCTATTTAACAGTTGGTGTCGATTGATGCACGACCTCTGTCTTCTCGATATTAACGGTCGTCTCGTTAGTGCTCCAATCTTATCTGTATTTTCGCCTCCGTTGGGGTTTTCAGCTTGCAGTCGTCCGACTATCAAAAACTTGGGGTCTCAGCCCTGGATGCTTTTGTTTTGGGCTTACACTCATTCGATGTTGAATAGTTTCTCATAGTTTAGGTAGCGTTTGTCCTTTCCAGAGCACATCTCACGGAGGACTACACGCGCCATTATGCCGTTGTGTAGTTATCTGACTACTGGGGCAAATCTTTCATGATATATAAATTTCCAAAGTTCATGCTCGGTTCATAATGCTGAAAACCATTGTGAGTTCAACGGAGATATGTGGCGTCCCATCGACTCCTTGTCACTTCCGATCGACGTTGTCCGGATCTGACACTTCGGCAGGTCCTGTGCTTGATTTATCGGCGTAGCCCCTCCCTAAGACGGACGCGTTAGGGTCTCCTTTTATGTAATCGTGGTCACCCGCCATCACTCATGCAATTAATGACAGAAATGCGGAACTAGATGAAACTTTATTAACCCAACGGTATCAGTGATAAGGGTAAGAGAACGTAAGAATTTGATAATGTAAGCTAAAGGGGATCACGGTACACCGTCTGGGTGTCTGTAGGGTAATTGTTCAGACGTAATTTCGGCGGTATTGGCTTGGTTGTCGGTACCTCGGTCCTAGACTACTGTCACCGTAGCTGTGGAATCGTAAACAACCACCCGTGTCAGAAAATGAAATTAACCGCTCGACCTTCTCCAATCGGTCGTTACAGATTGTGCAGGGGTAGATCCACATCTTTTATATATCCACATATCTGTTAATTTGGTATGGGAAGATCCAAGAATGAGTCTGGACAACTCGCATGTGGGGGGTTGAAATTTGTGACAGTTTTGTATTGTTCATACCGGGACGGCGCTGCATCTCAATTTCTTGCGGCCACCCTGTTTTAGCAAAGCAACTTTACCAACCAGAACTACCCGCAGCGTGTTCGAAGAGTTTGTAACTGGCTGTTTCGATTCCACCGGTTAGGATGCCATCACAAGAGTAGGAAAAGTGGAAAGGGGGGGAGGTATATGGGAGTTTGCCGCTTAAAGCACCGTTTTTGTTGACATCGACGTTGTTATTGTTGTTTTGGTTTAGTCGACTCCAGATTTCATGCGTAAGCCCTCGCTGCGATTCTCGAAGATATGGCACAGGTGGGGCCTTTGATTTCGTTTGACCTATGATTGAGACCCTAGTTTCAAAGGTATGGTCTCTACTGATGAGCAATACACGCTATTTTATAATATTGTTGTGGCTTTTGACTCATGTAGGTGGCAAAATTTGCCCGATCGGTATCCATTCACGCCTGAAGGCAGCACCATTCCGTGGCACGTTGGCGCGCCGCATATGACGCAAATACGCTCACAGTCAGATCCCGTCTCCCCGGGGGGTTCCGGGACAGTCAGGTTCTCAGTACCGACACTGGTTGATACTAGTCCGCCTAAAATTGACTGATCTTTCTGTTCCATTTTAGAGTGTCGAGTGGACGCGCGGCTGAAGAGGAAAACCTCCTCTTCCCCTCAGACCTCGTATCTGATTGGTGGCAGGGCACTGCGGCAGAGAGCGATCCTAACGCTGATCAGGCTTGGTTCTGCTCCAGTTGGATCTGGCTTGCCACCTGGTTGCTGCATCAAATGGAACCCCCTACGGAGCAGATCGGCAAGCGCATCTATCATCATATCCATCTGCTGAAGACTCAACGCACCTGCCCAAGCTTCAAAAGCGCCCATTGTTGTCTGCTTGCCGGTCAGTTAACGAACACCCTACTCGCCAGCGTGAGGGGCAGTGCTCCACCGCCTCTGAACAACATCACAATGACCTCTCTTGTGACTACAACAGAGCTCCTTCTTAACAGCGCACTTAACGCACCAAAAAAACCATCCGTTGCTGGGGACGATTTGGTACTACCATTAGAAATGCAGTGACCCTTCAGTCTGTTTATAGCCACTGTGACTCCACAGAAACACCGGCCTCATGTGTGCTGTCTGTCCTTTTAGGTTCTCTCGAGACAGTTGTGTGCCGAGCTCGAGCGTCTTCGAGGCGAACGTACCAGCGTGACGCAAGGCGATCCTGGTGAGTGTACGAGGCACACGCACGCACGCACGCATCTTGAAAGTGCGCGTGTGTGTGTGCCAGTTCATGCGCTACCCCCCTCTGTCACTCGCACCTTTTATCTCTACTTCCTTCTGAATATCCCGCTTCTGTCGCCTCTGTGCCTGTGCATTCAGAGTTTCTTACTCGGGTAGAATGAACCGAACATCCGCTTCTAGTAGTAAGCGACCGTGAGGCAGGCTGGTATTACTCGTACTTTATGCGTCTGTGATCATGCGTGATCAAGCTGGCATCGATGGTGTCGCGAGTCATGCCTGTACACGCTGGAAGATCCGCGGTAGAAAATTTGGTTGGCTGGGTGTACTCTTCTGCAGTGACGAAGACCGGACATCGTAGGTCCTAAAACCACCTCTAGGTCTTTGCGAACTGTGTCCGAGCCAGCTTCATCTTCACGGCCTCTGGTCGGGCAGCTTTCTCGGATTACGGCCGGCGGCACAGAACTCCCGCGACGGGCTACATCAGTCGTCTTTTCTATGGCTTTAGGTATCCTCGCGATCTGGTCCCAGTGAGTGGGGATTGCCGCATTCTAGACGAAGTCTGCTGGTTTGGGAGCACAGTAGACGAAGTTGCTATCACTGCAGCTGCATAATAATTGTCTGGCGACCATAACCTTACCAAGGACAAGAAGAGGAAGAACGATGTTAGTGAGTTTTATGATAGCCAAACGAGAACACCGCTTACTATGGCTGGTCGCACTATCTCTGCCTTGCGTATTGGATGTGGCGAGGAGGAAAGGGTTGGCACCGCTACCGCATGTCGCATCGACGAAAGATATAATCTTATAAGAAGGAAGTTTAGTAATGTTGCATACTCATTCTCGAGTCCATAATCATAGAGGGAAGATTTTGCCGACTTTTGTATGCCTATACCGAGCGATCCAGTTCATCCACTGGCTGTTCCAGCGTATACGCGGCTCGCTCCCCTTCTTACTGTTGAGCTGTTTTACAGCGACCACGGGTTCATTTGGCCTGTCAACCTGAGTGGGCATTTGAATGTGTTTTCAATGATTTTTCTCGCCTCCAGCGAGCTGTTTTGTGTCAACCCGCGGTCCGTTCTTCTTATGGGTGTGTTCTGCGAGTTCACACTTGCCCGCTAATTCTCCATGCATCTCTGATGCAATAGATACACTGTCCTGTGCGCGACCGAGCACCCTACCTTCCCGGCAGTCTGTATAAGACTGTTATCTGATGTTCTTGAAAACGATTAAAGGGTCCTCAGGTTTAGAGTCAGGACAGATGCCACCTGGGAAAACTTTAAGTTTACCGATGTAAACTTTGAAGAAGTCAGAGTCGGCAAACGTACGTTTTTGACTAATTATCATCAGAACAGTACAGTGGAATATGTCTGGGTAGAGCAGCGGAAGTTAAAAAACAGCCAATGAACGAGAGGATGGGAGGAGGGGGTTGACGGCGTCCAGACATGTCGGAACTGAACCTAGTTCTGTCAGCGGGTTATGTCTGCGTTTCATCGCTGTAACGCAACGTGGTAGGATTCAGATACGAACAGGTAATTCCCTATTTGGGCCAGGGCAGCTTGAGGACTTTGACAAACGTCTTCTATGAGCATGATGTTATGTTGGCCACCGCCTCTTTCGTAGCAAGTATCCGCTGACGCAGGAACTTGGAGTGTCTCACCGGCACTTCTTAGATGACCCGAAATGCCTGATTGGCATCAACCCGGTGGTCGCTGCCAACCAGGTGAGCCGGAATTTTGCTAGAGATGGGCTTCCATGCTTTGATTTAGCCAGGCAGGATGGTACTCTCGCATCCCACCACGCCGCGCTACGGCGACGAAACGCAAACGTAACCCACTGACGGATGCCCCCTCCCCCCACTCCCCTTGCCCCCAAAAGTGTACCTGGATTGTCCCATGATTCTACATGCCTGGACGCCCTCAACCCTCTCCCTAATCATGGCCGTTTTTCAATTTTCGCCATTTTAACGTGATTTATATTGTCGTACCGACCTTGATGATGAATAATCGGAAATGTACGTTTGCCGACTCTGACTTTCTCACCGTGGAGTCTGTTGGTATTCAAAGACGGTTTTCAGGCATCTCATGTATTCGAGTCTCTTGCTCTCCGGCCAGCTGAACTAATTTTCAAACAAACGCTCCGTTTTTTCGAACCACCGAATCTCTTTTCCTCCCCGCACACTTTCTTATGTCCCTCCGTACTGTCCACTGAGCCGTGTTTGCTCCTCTAAATAAAGTCCTTTACAACACGACGTCTCGTTCTTCTCTCCTTTAAATCCTTCTTGTTATTCCTCCTTGTCATACTTTCGCACCCTCCTCTCCTATCATCTTCGTCGGGGTCAATGCATGCGTGAGCAGTCAACAAGCCAAGGCCGACCTCACCTCCCAACCCGAGTTCTCCCATAACCGTCACAGACTACAGTCAGTCATACGAGGAGCCGAACCCAACGGACGGTGCATCATCACCACCACTACTACCGATGTTTAGTTCGCATATTTACCAACCGGGCGGTGGAAAGCCGTCAGCAGCTCGCGGTCAGGACGCGTCCACATTGGTCCCACATATCTTGGCCTCGTCCGGCAATGCTACGGAAAGGGCTTCCCGCCAAGACTCGCAACACGGCCTTCAGGACAACCAGGTTAGTTCTTCAGCCCCAGCTTGCCTGCTCCCTCCGATCTTCTGCGCCTCTCGGGTATATTTTATGACTGGGTTATCTCCTTTTTGCAAGAATCTCATTCTCATTCGTGGGACTGTCCTCCGAGCCCACTCATATCCAGATCATGCCTCCTAGGCGGAAAATAAAGGGACTTTTCAAAGTAGAACTGACGAGCTTAGCGCGTTTCAAGCGGAGCCCGTGAATAGCACCGGGACTGCGCTGTGAGTGCTCTAGACCAAGATGAGGGTTAGATCGACTCGCGGTACGCGTTAGTCGGTATGCGCAGATTTTGCGCTTCCCATAACTAATGGGGCACGTGCGTCTACATCAACTGCGCCCAGTACCAGGGCGTTGGGTCCTGTCCCGCCACGTTTAAAGTCGTGCCTTAAGAACTTGTCTACCGATAGGATAACTGTCTTTCTGACCACCGAGAGGCTTCAATGGCCCCTTCTAAACGCGATCCTTATGGCACTCGCGGTCGTATAAAAGCCAAGTCGCCCTTATTGTAGACAGATACGTGTTCTCTAAACGGGCCACGTGTTAGATGCGCTGGACCAACACGGGGGCCACATCGTACTCTGGCAGGCGTTATCTGTGCGCAATAACAAATGACAACACTTGCGGGTTGCGCTGGCAGACCCTGTTGTCGGCAATCGTCGCACAACTGGACCACTGCCATCGCCCCATTGTTTTGTGGTCAAAATCCTGGTCATTTGTGTGTGGACCAGGGGGTGTGGAATGGAACGCCAAGGCGAGGATCCGTCCGAGTCATCCACCTGCGGCCTTACCCCGTCTCCGGACTTCTTGACTTGGTCTTGACACCGGGCTCAGGCGGGGGAGGAGGAGAGAGTGTAGGTTGATGCTACGCAAGTCTACTGGCACTATAAACCTCATGCGTAAGTCGCCGTCCCTGCTCCACAATGCGGCCTGTGGGGCACACGGTGGACGTCATCGAAATCGATGGTCGAACTGTCGTAGACAGATACATCTGAATTGGGGGCGGGTGTGGCACGTGTATGCGGACTGTCTAACTTTCTCAGCCTCTGTGCTCGCGCCCACTTCTGGTCGTTTTGATGTCCCCTCGCCATTGGGACATCGTGGGCGAGAGAGTGCTGTAGATGCTGCGAAAGTCTGCCTCACTGTAGTCTGGTCCACGCGCAAGCCACAAGCGTTGTGTTCACTCCATGGTGGACGTTGTCGCTTGCAACATTTAAACTGTCCAGTTAACTGAAGCGTCAATTCGAGCGCGATTGCAAGTGTACTTTTTGGACTTTCTGCTGGTTTGAGTGGTTGGCTGTATCAAGCGTTTCTTCTTCTCCGAATAGATGTGCGAGAATACTTTGTATTGCCAAATATTGTGAAACACAGTCAGTTTCTTCCTATGCCTTTGTTTGGAGAACTGGCAGGTCAATATCAGTCGGATATTTATCTTAAACCGTGGGACTTCTCGTTCAAACTACCTACTGTTTGATCTAGACTGTCCCATTGCCACAGTTTCCCAACCGTACATTATGAGTCTGAACAGTCTTTCTGGATCCTTTGAATTTCTGCACACCTGAGTGTAGTCAGCATAGTCACTTGTTCTTTTCTTTGGAGTCTTACGAGGACTGCGGCTTTTTTATTTCATCAGAAGTTAGTCGCTAACTCTTAGTAAATCAGTCTGAATTAGATTTTCTACACTCGAACTTATAGTTTGCATGAATATTTGGGCCGAAGTCCATCAGACGCAGCGGGATAGTCTCTTAATATTCATAAACTGCCAAGAGTCAGCCAGTAGCATGTACATAGGCTACGATGTACACCATACTTGACAGCACAGTTGTTATCCAAAAGCCCGGACACGTGTTTCGCCGATATTCTGCTGTTTCTGCGAGGGGTTCGGCTTATCAGACCGATTTACTCCAAGTTAGCGCATTAATTACGCGGACATTTCGAAACCCGAGTATCTGCCAGAAAGCACACGGGTGACGCTGGGGAGCTCGCGGATGAGCCGAACCTCTCACGGTTGTGTCATACAACAAAAGAATATCGCACAACGCGTGTGAGCCTTTGTATAGTATCTATATCATCAAGTATGGTGTATCGTGTATCGCCTTAAGGTTTGTGTGTGTCTGCTATGTCATGACTCAGCAAACCCTGGCTCTCGCAAGCTGGTGTGTGTTGGCAGTTCTCTGACACCTGGTTCCCTTCCGGTAGATGTTTTTGCGCCTCCGCTGGGTTACTGGTCGCGTAAATGGCTGCCCAGTCATCCTCTTCTCTCTGACTCTTTCTTTGTTGTTGTTGGCAAAAATCCTGGTTAGATTGTTGTGAACCAGAGTGGCGCGGTAGTAGGCCTAGCTGCGGATTCGGCCGTGCCAGCCACCCGCGCGCACTCCCGCCTCCGGTTTTCTTGGCTATGTCTTGACATTGGGTCCAGGTGGGGAAGAGGAGAGAGTGCTGTAGATGCTGTGCAAGTCCACTCCCACTATAAACTATTTCGTGCGTAAGTCACTGTGTCTGCCAAACCTTGCTGTGGAGCACATGGAGAACATCGTCGGACACGACGGTCTAACTGTTATCGTGTAACCTACGTACACACGACAACTGCAATGTCTAAATATATAATACCTTGTTGTATTTATGTTTTTTCTCCTTCGTTAGAGTAACCTCGTCACACAGATGGTGGATCGGTGGCTTCCTGCCTTTACCGACTTCTCCCACCAGTTGGCGGAGACTTCTGCTGAACTCTCCAAGAGTCGTATGCACAATGAGCAACTGTCGAGACAGTTGCATGAGACCCAGACCCAATTGGACTCTGTGCGAGCGGACATAGAGCGTCTAAAAGGTGAGGAAAAAGCCAGAGAGCATTTACAGAAACAAACTGCACAATCCACTTCCTTGACCGATTGGAAGGCTGTCCAGGATTCTCTCAACGAGGTCACGGCCTCCCTCCGCGAGTTGCGACAGTGGTTACCGGCTCTGGTTTCTAGGTCAGTGCAGAGCGCTGTGGAGGCCAGCCTCCTAGCCTCCAGTCTGCCACCTACAAGGCTACCGCCGCCGCCGCCGCCAACACAACCGAACATGCCGTCAGATGCTGTGCCCGCACCCTTGCAGTCCGGCTGGTTCCCGTCTGCCGCCCCGACCGCCTCTTGCCCACCAGGCGAACACCTCTTTCCCCAACTCGTCTCGGCGGCGGCCGCAGCCGCAGCGGCAGCCGCCTCTGCTGACAGCCAACAACGCGCTCAGCTTGCCCTAGCCATGGCAGCTCTACAGCAGTCGGCCCAGCCACCGCCACCGCAGATACCACCACCGCCGCCGCCACCAACAATGCCGATTCCCTGTCTGTCGCCGCAGCTCCCCTTTACCGGTACGTGAAGTCCTATGGCTTTCGTCTGTCAGATTGGGCTTGTGTTTTGAGAAGCTGACTAGTGGACTGGAAAGTCAGGCTGCATTGGCGCCGTCGTAGCGTAACCTCCAGCAGTCTCACTCATGTGAGATGCATGCCGCAAACCTCCTGTTGAGTGAAATCCTGGGGCTTGTGCTTGGGGGGAAGGGGGCAGGTCGTGTATGTGGCACGCGCAGACGGGGTCACTAGTTATGTCAACCACTGCACACCCATTCCTCGCACTAGGCAACTGACCGACCCGGACGGTGTCTGGGGTCTGGGAATGAGAATAAAGTGAGTTCAACGACTCAGCGCATTTTCCCCACTCTAAACAATCAGACGCGCTTGAAGCGATCACAGTGCGCTAAACGCCGTGGTTTAGATGGTTGCTAACCGATGGCCCAACGTCTGTTTGTATGGAGTGGCTGACTGATGGTCTGAAAGTCGGACTGCAATGGATCCTTCCTAATGTGGCCTTCATGGCACTCCCACCTAGTGGGATCGAAGCTGGGTGTGGCGGCACGCCTAGGGGTGGCTCCGGCCGCCCCAGTGGTCGCTCTTGTTGTTGTGGGTTAAAATCCCGGCCAAGTGTTTGTTGTGGACCAGTGGGGTGGGGTAGTACGCCTAGGCGCGGATCCGGCCGTGCCATCCACCTACACTCTCTCGCGCCTTCGGTCTTTTTGACTATGTCTTAACACTGGGCCCAGGTGAGGGAAGAGAGGGTGCGGCAGGCGCTTTGCAAGTCTGCCGCCATTTTAAAATAATTCACGCACAAGTCACCGTGCCTGCTCTCACCCTGCTGTGGACACACGACAGTCAAACTGTCGTCGGGCTTTAAACTGAACTGTCAGACTAGGTCGTATCAGCCCTTCACAATGCTGGCTCGAAAGCGAGTAGTCTACTTAGGTACTATTTCATCAGACCTAAAAAGCCAGAAATGGCCATTCCAGTCTCTCTCGTCCTTGTCGGTAATGCTATTCTACCACTTGTAATCACTTCTCTGAGCTTCTTTTCTCATTCTCCCTCCCTACCCCAAGGTGCCCCTGCTGCTGCCGCCGCTGGAGACAAGGCTGCCGTCGAGCGTTTCAGTCTGTCCCAACCTCCACATCAGCCCGCAATCACAACAGCAGCCCCTGCTCTGCGTGGCCCAGCACCACCTTTCGTCGGCCCGCAGCTGCCCTTTGGCTCTGGCGCACCCTTTGGCACCGGAAGTGGTTCTCCCCTCCGTGGCGCCTCCACTGAACTCCCTGGCGTGCGGCCGTTTGTGCCACCCGTCGTTAAACCGCCCATTTTCTCGGTTCCTCCACAGTCCGAAACCGGTACCGTCCTGAAACCTGCCCAGTTTAGTTTCCCGCCAAAATCAACTGCTGCTACTGGGCAACTATCCTCCCTGCTGACAGAATCCCCACAGAAGAAGGCATGTCTCTTCTTTCCATACTGGCAGTCTCTCTCTTCCCTTGTTTGCTGATATGCGAAGTTTATGTACCAGTGGAAGCGAATATGCGTATCCCAGGTTCTTGTTTTAAAGAAGATGAACACACCATCTCTGGGGCAGTAGGTGTATTAGTCTGAGCTTTCGGTCTCGTACAGGAGGCCACCGTCAGAGACTGTGAGAATGCGGCATAAAATGAGCAGTTGTTGTAGTCAAGCCATGAAGGGGGGAGGGGAATATGATTGTAGAGGGTGGTATTCGCGATAAGCTGTCCCACGCCGTCTCACGGCGGCGCGACTTCGTGCACCCTTGGCTGAAAATTGGGTCTCACCTCTTGGCCGCGGGAACGGAGCACGTGATAGCAGGGGGGCATGTCAACGTGTCTGTTGATAGAGTTTGTGTCAGACACCCAGGCCTCCAACAGTTCTCGCCCTGTTTTGTTGCTGGCCCGCGCTACTATCCGCGTGCTCGCGAAGTTGAATTCGTGGCCTTCCTGCAGGGTGTGAGTGGCGACTTGAGACAACGGGTCGCCCCTCCTGACCGCCCGTTTATGCTCACCTACTGTCCCAGAGATCGTGTGTTCATCTTCTATGTACTAGTGTTTGAAAGTGGATTGTCCAGTGGTCAGCCTAATGGTGCCAGTGGTCACCCCAAGCTCTCGAGGGCTGCAGGACGGAATACTGGAGGTCCAAGTCCACTCAACTGAGCTCATTGTGAGAGAGGGAGAGAATCGTTGCAAGGCCATCTGAGTCACTTTTCTTCGATGTTCTGAGACATCCTCGTGACGATTGTGAACTGTCTTTCGTGTAGAAGTCGGGGTACTTCGGTCGAAGGATAATCCCCAGACAACGGTGGTCAAACACTCCCTTTTCACTAATTTTCCACTCACACACAGGAGGACTGGCTGGATGGATGCTCCGTGCACACTGTTGTTTGTCACAACGGGTGAAAGCCGATCGAACAGTCGTGATTTGGGTGACGATGTCCCTAAGGCACTCGAAACTGACCTCTCTTTTTTGATCCTGACTGCCATGAATCCCGGGAGTTCAACTCAAACCCACTTTGGTTTTTCTGACCTTGATGGTCGAAATCATTCACCCGTGACACTGTATTGTGTAAGTCATCATAGGTAGACGCCAGAAAAGCGGTATCGTCGCTTTATAAAGTGGTCAGCCAGTCAGGGGCTCAGATTCGCCATTCGCATAGCTGCCTGACGTTGGCTGGTGGTAAACAATGCTTATATTGTGGATTTTGATTAACATAGATGTTACCTTCTTCTAGGAAGTGACTACAAAGTCGCAAGTCGAAGAGGGCTTATCCGGTGTTTCTGCCACCGCCGTCACTGCCACCAGCAAAACATCCTTGTTCCCCACATTCACCCCAAGCTTTGGCGCCGCCGGTCCCAAGACAACTCAGCCATCATCGTCCCTCTTTGGTGGACTCAGTTTCTCCAAGTTTGGCGAGACTCCGGTGACCGCAGCCAAGACCTCACCCGCAAAACCCAGCCCTGCTAGCACTGAGCCTCAGAAGCCGCCGAGCACGCTGTCCGCGTCGGCAGACCAGAGCGGAGACGCACCAGAGGCCTTCGAACCCGCAGTCGACTTCCAGCCCTGCGTCGAGAAGCTGCCCGAGCTGGTGGCGCAGCGCACAGGCGAGGAGCAGGAGGAGCGCATCTTCTGCCAGCGAGCTGTGCTGCATCGTTGGGACCGAGAAGCTGGCGAGTGGAAGGCACGTGGCACCGGTGAGATCCATATCCTCGCGGATAAGGAGAAGAAGCAGTATCGCGTGGTGATGCGTCGTGACCAGGTGAGCCTGTCGGACTGTCTAATCAGTGTTTGAGTGTAGTCCGACATTCAGTCAACTTCTTCGCTCCTTTCATTGTTCACACAATAATGCCTTTTAGGGGGCAAGCTTCGTTCTCTGATTGTCAGTTCCGCCTTTACTGCAGACCGGGCTTTCATGCAATATAATGTTAGTGGGTTGTCACTACTGCCCTTCCCGTAACGAAGGTTTTCCTTGCCATGATTTTCGTAGATACCATAACCCTACGTCAGTAGCGTTAATATATGCTCCCCAGTGACCGTCTCAGGATCTCCGCATGTCGGGGGAACAAGTTTGTGCGATCCCCGGGTGTCTTATGAGATGGTGTGTTTGCTAAGGATCTAGTGCTTTGAGCAGTAAATTCAACCCCCCCCCCCGTGTTCTTCGCAACTTCTGTACACTGCCCACAATCTAAAACTCGCGGGTTGCCCTCATTGTCGTGTCTATTGAGTAGGCGACCAGTGCCGTCTGTAGACTGATCTGTAGCATCCTATCTGGCCGTGACTGGTCTCCACCGCCTCAGCTTGCCTAAATCAGATAACCGCGAGACCAGTTTCCGCCAGACTTTGCTTAACTCCCGTACCTTTAGTCATGTCGAGGCCATGATCCCGTGGACCTCATCTATCCAGATATAGCAGTTGATTAGGCGATTGCTAGACACCCATGTTCCTTGCAGTTCTCCAATCGGGTCCTCATCACTTTGACCCATAATCCTGACGGTGTCAAGGTAAAACTGGTAGTCAGCACAGAAAACACGGATGCGCGCCAGACATTTCGAATGAGGCCTCTGGGCCGTCAGTTGATGCTCCTGTGTAGTCAGCTATTTTTAGACGGCTTCCTCCAACGTATTTACATTCTTGACAAATGCACTGCGCCGGTGGCTACTCCTTTGGTTACTGCTGAATACTTCTCCACAACACGGGCTGCTCAACTCCGTGGGATCCGATCCAGGTTTGACGACACCGCCTAGGTGCGGCTCCGGCCGTGTCAGCCACCCTCTTTGCTGTTGGTTAAAATCCTGGCTCTTTCCTGTGTGGGACAGGTGTGGAGTGGAGTGCCAAAATGCGGGCTCGACCGTACCATCCTCGTGCGGCCTCCCCCGCTTCCGGTCTTGACACCGGGTCCATGTGGGGGAGGAGGAGGAGGGGAGAGTGCGGTAAATGCAGTGTAAGTTTACATTCACTTTAAACTAATTCACGCGTAAGTCACCGTGCCTGCACCCTCTTGTGGAGCATACAGTGGACGTCGTCGGCAACGATGGTCTAACTATTCATACAACCTTTTGTATCGCAGCCGGTAGTTAAGTGCTTAAATGTGCTGTGCCTGTCAATTCATAAAGTCGGATAAGGACGCGCCTAAGAGGGCGATTCGATCCCCACTGCTTAATTTACTCAAGCCTTAAAGTACGCGACTACGCCATAGTTCCACAGTTGCAAGCGACGAGATTCAACATCGTCCCCTGAGGACGCAGTAGTAGGTTGTGCGTGAATTTTTTTCATCAGACCAACTCTGGTAAAGGGGCGCCCGCCGGTCGTCTTACGAAGCATTCTTGCGCCGTTGTGCCTTAGGGCCGAATCTAGGACCTACCTCTATCCCTACATCGACCCTGTCCCCTGGCAATACAAAGTCTAAGCTGCTGGGCTTTTTCGTGGACAGAGTGGCTAATAAGGTTAGATAGCCTGCCCGCACGTGCCACTAGTCACCCGATTCGTAACCACGTCTGACATAGGCCGCAAAGATCTTAAGGACATCCTAAGGGCCAGGCGCAGATGTCACACCAAAAGGTTTGAGTTCCTGGGCCCTCAAGACCCGTCTTTCGAGGTTTGGAGAATATCCTGAACCATTTGCCACTAAGTATACACGTCAGTGCCCTCTCCATCATATTGACCTTCAGGAGGCAGTTCTAGCCTTTGCACGTTGCATGCGTACCAGTCCATTTGACGGGAAAGTCCTTCAATGAGCGCCCGAACCGGCTGCTTTATTGCACAATTGTTTTGCCAAGTCTACTTTGGCAGATTTATTGGAAAGTCACCTTGTCCCAACCTGTTTGAGCATGCATTTGTGAAGAGAGTGGAGCTGTGCACGCGTCGAGGGTTATCGAGAAACAATCTGCTCTCACCGAAGAGCTTATTGAGTCAGTTGAAGCACATGCGAACAGCTAAAGGGCACGCCTTTGCGCAAAACAACGCCAGTGTTTACTGCTTTGGTGGTTTCTTCCACAACACGTACACATTTTAAGCACAATACAGTAGGTGGGCTAACTCATGAAATGTCAGCCGAAATTTCGAAATACGTTCCCGTTTCGAAAAGATTAATTAAGTAGATTTGTAAAACTAATCATTTTGCAGCATAATTCTGTAATAATTCAGGTATTTTAGGCTGCCGACTTTCGAATGAACTTCTTTCCGGCTGCATACAAGAACTGTACTCCGCAAAAAATGACTACTTAAGTAGCAGGCATTTGTCTCATGGATTTTCGATGCCCTTCAAAAGTCAACTATATTTCATGGAAAATATGCATAAACATATGCATCCTTTCACCCTTTCCATAGGAAATTACGTCTTCTTCCAATTTTATACTCGAAGGAAGGATATTACTCGGTTTTTAACTTTTCCAATTCCCAAATAATTTTGGACCCGACCTGCTGTTACACTTGCATTCAGGGTTTCCAAACTACAGGTCGAATATTTTCCGTGTATGGAAAACCATACGTTTCCCTACGTTATTAAGAGGAGACTATATGGGTTTCATAAAATTTAGCACTGGATTTGAGCCGTATTGTTAACTTTGCAAGCCACACTAGTAAATGCAGAGACATGACGTTTTATGAATGGCCATTTCACGGTATTAAAAAATCGCATATTAGAAACTTTTTCAAAACCACATTATTATACCCTTCCTTTGAGTATAAAATTGGGAAAAAAGACACTATTTTCTACCGAATGAGCAAAATAACGAGTATTTTTATGCATGTTTTCCACTAAATATTGTTGGACTTCTAGGGACATCGAAAATCAGTGAGAAAAAGTCACGCTACTTATGTAGTCATTTTTAACAGAGTATGGTTCTTGCATGCAGACAGAATGAAGTTTATTCGAAAGCCTACACCCTGAGGTAACTGGATCATTATAGAATTATACTGCAGGCCGATTTGTTTTACAACCCTACTTAACTAATCTTTTCGAAACGAAAACGCATTTCGGAATTTCCTTTGACATTTCACGAGTTAGCCCACCTACCGTATAGCGATAATACTTTGACAATACTCAACTAGGTCACTGCGGAGGGCCTTAACCTACAGCTGCACCTAGCTGTCCCCAAAGTGCTTTTTGGAATAGAGCAGGGGGTGAAAAACCAACTTCGATTTCTAGCCGGAGCTGTGGGGCCGGGAAATTCAGAACGGATGCCACTCACGTGACGGGTATCGTAAGGGGTGGGGCTAGATTCCTTTCGGTGCTCGGAGTGTGGGTTGCTCACAAGCCTGACTCCATTCAGCTGTCTGGTAATGCCCTCAAATGACTCGGCAGAAGTAGCCGGAACCGCAACTGCTTTCGAGAAACCAGAAGGCAGCTACGGACTGCGCAGGCGCTTCAGCTGACAGCGTGGAGGAAGTTATTGCTGCAGGTCTCTTGAACCTAGAGGTGTCGGCAGCACGACCTGGTTATCGTGCATTCACACTATCCTAACCACACCACGTGGGGTCGAACAGGGGCTTAGTGGCTTCGCATCCGCCTGACGAGAGGTCAGCCAGTCTAGAAAAGGACGCGAACGCGGAGGGCACTAATTACCGTTAGACAGGACACGTAATGCGCGCACGTTGTGGGCTTTGTAATGAGGACTATGTACTGTACTTGCCAATCCTTGCTGATGGTCAGTTGAACTTGCTCGTTGAAAGGTCGAGTCCTAACTGAATCTGCCACAGTTAACGCCGCATTCCCCCGTAGACCCTGTGTATTCTTGCGGGGAAAAAACCGAGTCACATCAGAGCTCTAGTGGTATTTAGGATGGATCCCTCTGCCTTAGCTGCTAGTAATGGCTTAATTTACTGTCTAATAGTTTCGTTGAGAAATAACAGGCGGAGAAATGTTTTTGTTATGAGACAGCTTGTTGGCCATTCAGCATTTCAGGTCGTCTGAAACACACAAAAATGCCAATGTCCACCAGGGTGCGAGTTCCGAGCAGTTGTTCAGAAGAAGTATGGTCGATAGCTGAAACGACGTTCTACATTTTCTCCGTATTTCTATTCTCTTTCGCCTCCAAAAGGCATTTCAAACGTGGATCTGGAATGCCTGAAAATGAAGCCCTTGCATTAGTGGTCGACTTATTCCACGTAACAGAATCTCGGCGTTGGTCTGCGTAATGAACTTTGCGTTTCTCATACTACTGCTACCACGGCAGTAGCGAGAGCTGTTTGGACGCCAGAAGCGAAATGTGCCAAGTAATTTCTGATTTACCTCATCGCAGACCTTGCTGAAACTGCCGCAATCACATGAAAGTGGCACTCGACAAAGTGTGGACGATTCTGTTTTGTCTGGGGCCACTGACCTAGAACTCTCTCAGGTACATCAGGGCTTGCGGTTAGGCTATGGCAAAAGGATGGCGGCAGATAAGCCAGTAATGGCTAGCCGAACTCCCTTTTTATCCGCAACCGTTCTATCATCAGCCTGACGTAGGTGAGCCATGAGGGTTCTAAGTGGCAGCTTCTTTCATTTACATGGAAAAATCGTACGTCCTTGTGAGTCGTTCCGTCTGCAAGCTGCCCCAGCGCATACTGATCTCCTGTGCGATGCACTGCCAGTTTACCGGGCTAGGACAGCCGTGAAGGAATCGTCGAGATTAATTAGAGGTAACCAGGTAAACAATTCGTCCGATGGGAAATTTGACGAACTTTTGGGACGGCTGGCCGTTGCTTGTCTGACAAGCTCACCGCAAACCGTTGACCGCCTGGCTTGACCAAGGTGCCGTCGATATCCACTGACTGCAGGCCAGGCAAACCAACCACAGGAATAGTTCGAAGTCTATGATTTCACAATGCACTTCCGGTCTAGGCTGTAAAGAGTAAAATCCAAAGCGGTCGAAACTTCAGACAATTCTCAAGTATCCCCAAGGTCACCATATTCCGCGCACTTACCTGGTCAGAGGATCATTTGTGATCAAGCTGACTGGGATTCTGCATCTGTGTACTTCCGCTAGGTCACAACCACCTCCTTCAATTCACACTCTTCCGTTACCCCTGCGATCGCACCTCGGAGTCTTAACAGGTGCTAGCCTCGGCACAAAGATGAACGCTTATTTCAAATTTTTCGATTTTTTAAAACATCGACTAATGAGCCCTTCTTCGTACCGTTAGATGACTGCTTTGCTAATCATTGATCTTAACTCTCTTCACTGCGTGACTTCTCTTTGCATGTAGACATATGCTTTTTCCTGACCTTGTGCTGTACTCTTTAGCCGTCTGTTTCTTTCGTTTCAGATTAAGAAACTGTGCGCCAATCATTTCCTTGCCACAACCCTCAACTTCCGAAAGCACCCCCAGGATCCACGATACCGCATGTGGAGCGCTCGAGACTTTGCCCACATGGACATCGACGCCCCGTCCAACGAGGGCACCGACGAAGTCTTCATGATCTGCTTCAAGACTGCGGAGCTCGCCCAGGACTTTGAGAATGTTGTCCGATCCTGTCTTGCCCAGCTGGAGTCGCAGCCGACATCGCAGGATGCTACTGGTAAATCCCTCCTGCCCCAGCCGCCCTCTTCGACGGCCAGCAGCAGCGGCAAGACGACGGCGACCACAGCCTCCAAGAGTGCTCTCGCCGCCCCTGCTCCGGGACTTGAAAAGCTTCGTGCTAAGCAAGGCTCCTGGGAGTGTTCTGTGTGCACCCTCTCTGTGGATGCCAAACTCACTGTCTGTCCGGCCTGTCAGGCCGTCAAGCCGGGTTCCCAAACTACCACTGCAAGCACCGCCGCCGCCGCCAGTACGACACCTTCTGGACTGGTGTTTTCCTTCAAATCCGCAGTCTCGCCTAGTGCTGGGGCGAAGCCGACCACTTTTCAGGCTCCCCAGACCTCCGGCACGCCACCCCCTGCCTTCCGCTTCGGTGCTTTTTCGACACAATCAAGCTCCGTCTCCGGTGGCAGTCAAGCTACCTTCTCCTTTGGCGCCCCATCCCCCAGTAGCAGCGGCCAGACCAGCAGCATCCCCTTCAGCCTTTTCGGCTCCAAGTCGCAAACCAACACCCCTAAAACCGCCCCTGCGCCTACATCTACAAGCACACCGACAGCCTCTCCAGCAGGTGGTGGTGCATTTGCTGGCTTAAACCTAGCCGATGCCTTCCAGTCGGCGGCCAAGGGTGGCTTTACGTTTAGTCTAAAACCCGCCAGCAGTCCGAGCAAACCCAGCCCTGCGGAGGGGCAGGTAAACACCTCGGAGGGGGGCACCACAGCCGTCGATGACAGCAACGAGGAGACGCCGACCGATCTGGACAGTTCACAGTTCAAGCCCCTCTTAGACCACTTGCCGGAGAAGATCGTTGTCCAGACAGGGGAAGAAGACGAGGAGATCGTTTTTTCTGCCCGGGCTAAGCTTTACCGCTTTGTGCCAGCTTCGGAGGGCAGTGCTGAGGGCTGGAAGGAGCGTGGGATAGGCACTTTGAAGCTGCTGCGCTCAGCCCCGCCCAATAGCCGCGTGCGTGTCGTCATGCGCAGAGACCAGATCCTAAAGGTCTGTTGTAATCATCCCATCACGGCAGAGATGAAACTTCGACCATTGCAACAACAGCGGACAGCAGCCACAACGCCCACACTCGCCTGGATCTGGTGGGCGGTCGACTTTGCCGAAACAGATGAGGGCGCTGCCGCAGGCGACAGTGGCCGCAAGGAGACCTTCTCTGTGCGATTCAAGACTCCTGAAGACTCGGAGGCCTTCCATCAGGCATTCATGGCAGCAGTGAAGGCTGCTGGTGGAGAGGATACCAAGTTGGAACCGCCCCGTTCCAGTTCTACACCCAATGTACCGGCCAAGAGCACAACCGCTAAGGATTCGAAGCAGAGCGAGGAGTCATCAGATGAATCCGATCTGGTGATTGTCGAGCAAAGTCCGGTACGTTGTTTTTCCCAACTTCCCATTAGTCTGAACCACCTGTTCAGCGTGACCGAAGAATTTTTATGATAGTTAAAAGTTCAGGGCCGTAGTCTGTTCTGCTGATGCCTTAACGACTCACCGACACTCGGCAAGTAAAATACTTCGTAGCAGACTGGGGCATAGTCGGTCCGAGTAACTGTTACTTTTTTCGCCCCTTCAAGCTCTCACCAGAACAGGTCGATCGTGCTCGCGCCCTCCAACTGCCCGACGACTTCTACGCCTTCGAGACCGCCCCTAGCGACGCTAGTCATCGTCGGCACCACCATCGTGAGGCCATGAGCCCGGAGGAGGAGGCTGCCGAGGACGCCCTCCTAGAAGCCGCAGTGAAGGCTGGCAGTAGCGCCGGAAAGAGTGGCAGCCTCGTCATCAGCCTCTCCGATTCGCCGGAGAAGAGCAGCAGCCTCAGCACGACCAGCGTTGATGCGGAGGCGGAGACTGCCCCCGCAGCGCCGCCGCAGCCGCCCACCCTCGGCCTAACCTCCCTCAAACCCAAAGCGGGCTCCTGGGAGTGTGACACCTGCACCCTCCAGGCTCCGCCCGACGCGACCATCTGTCCCGCCTGTCGGACGCCAAAGCCAGTAGAACAACAGCAGGCAGCGGCGACGACGACCGCCGGCACACAGGGCGACTCCCAGAAGAAGCTGTCAGGTAATTTGTCTCACTTCATGCCACTGTGTATGTGTGCACATGAGCCGTCGACGTCCTTGCCTCTCCGTAGTCAATACCACAAACGCCGTCCTATGATACCCCACCTTACTCCCTTCAGTTGTTTTTCAGTGAGTTCGTATTTGCGTCTGGAACAAAAGTCGGTAGGGGACTCGTATAGTGTCTGAGAAAGTGCTCGGCTCCTAAGTATTTAAGGTGTGGCGTTTTTACAGCTTATAAGAGAGAAATTGGCAAGGGTATGGTATGTAACCCCCTTTGGGGGGGGGGGGGGGTGACCGTAATTAGCCACAACCCTAACACCAACCATTGCCATGCCTTAAATGGGAAACCACTAATCCTAAGTCAAGCCCCAAAACCCTAACCCTGGTCTCAACCCCAAATCCAGACCACAGACCAAGCCTGACAATCCTAGTCCCAAGAATAATTTAACTAACCAATTCTAATCGTTACCTAGACCCCAATTTTGAGCCTGAAACGTCGATACCGGCCATCGGAGTTCACAATCTGCTTCCTGCATAAGCCCTGTCGAAACTCACTGCCGTTATTAAGCACAACTAATTAAGACAAGGTATGCCTATGAGCAAATATCCAAGGAGGACTACATGCCCTACCCTTACCGGGAAATTTCCGGAATGCATTTTAAAGTGTCTGCGAACTCCTCATGTCGCATATTTCCCCTCCCATTCACGACCACACAGGAGGTGCAGATGGGGGAAGAAAGAGGGGGATGACACAAACTACGATGCTGGCTTTAATGGAGGGAGGGGAGAAGATAGAATAATGAAAATTGTAATGATAATAGCACTACTAATGGCGGTAGGAAGCGGACAGACTGTCACACCTGTCGCTACCAGTAACCTGGTCTGTCAGATGAGCACTCCTTCCAACTAACCAGTCAGTTAACTTGTTCAGCAGGCTCATATTTTTCTAAGAGTGCTTTACAAGGTCCCATCAAGCTATTCAAAACTACTTGGGCATCGCTTGTTGACTACGGCAGAGGCAGCTACAATCAGGTTACGCGGACCGGTCCTATGCGCACAGTTGCCATGGGGCCAAAGCCACCAAGCCAGCCACCCGCATGCAATTACCTTTGTAGGGACCCACCTCCCTGGCGCTGACTGGAATTGTGGTGTTTCACTCTCCTCCTCCTCCCCTTTATTAGCCAGGCTAATAAGGCTCTTGTCCCAGCGATCGTGTCTCTTTCCTCAAGACTGTTTCCTGGGACTCATCTCTTCGCTTCTAGTATCAACTGTGTTATTCTAATTCACCCTGCCCTGCTTTTTTGTCTCCGTCAGAATTTGTGCCAGCAAAGAGTGGTTTTACGGACTTCTCTAGCCTCTGCGCCAGTGCAGACGCCAAGCCTTCCTGGCTGTCCGCATCAAAGCCGACGGAGTCCGGAGCCCCGAGGTTCTGGTCCGACGCCGGGGGCGGCACCCTCTTCTCAGCCCAGAAGACGGTCGGTGTCGCGGACCAGCAGAAGGAGACGGAGAACGAGGAGCCTGAGCCGGATCCCCAGTTTGAGCCCATCGTCCCGCTTCCCGAACTCGTGGAGGTACGCCCTCCTGTCTGCTACCCCCCTTTTTTACTCTGCTGCCTTGTTTTTGCATAGTTGTCCTTGAGCCGGTCGTGCGTGGTGTGGAGTTAGCTTGGTTATTACCGACAATGACAAGGGAGACTGGAATGGCCATTTCTGGCTTATTAGCCGTTTTCAGCCAGTCATACCAACCCCGAAGTGTGGAACACCTGCGGCCCGATCCCGCGATCTGTTGGCTAGAAGTTCAACGCTTCTAACTACTGAGCCACGGGCCCGTTTTCCTGTCGGTTTCAATTGGGAATATACAATGGGTGGCTAATAAGCCAGAAATAGCCATTCCAGTCTCCCTTGTCTTTGTCGGTATTAACATCCTGCCTATATATCATGCGCCGCTGTGCGGCTGCTGTTTGGGCCTGAGAGAGATAGCCCGTAAAGCACAACGGAGCGAGTGAGTTTCGTGAGAACTATCGGTGAGCGCCTCTCTACCATTAGCTTGGTTTTTCTGTGGTACTCTACCAAAGACCCGACCACACTGTATTTAAATTTAACTATCGTTACATCCGCCAACACCAGAAGCAGTCTCTGCATGCTGATCACAGTCTACTCTGCTGTCTAGGCAACTTTCCTGGCCTGCAAAAAGCCTCTCCAGTAGAGCAAATCTCCTGTTTGAAGCCAAACGTATTCTTTAACAGTATGCGTGGTCAAACTGACTTATATAGCCTGAGGAAAATGAATCGCTCACCGGATCGGGGTACTTTTCTGGCTAACGTTTCGAAAAGCTGGGGCTGCTCTCCTTTGTCAAAGCGTCAAGTGAAAAAATCGATCAGAATTTTTGAATAGACAGCCGGATTAGTTGGCCTTGGGCCGATCGATTTTTTCTTCTTTCGCTGCCTTGGCCTTCTGGCCGTCGTCTGTGAATGTTGGTGTCCTCCTGTATTACGTGTCGTCACCTCAATTGGGGTTAGTTGCATTTGCGTTCCCCTTTCGGGTAAGGTGGTCGACAGGCCGTGTTTGCTCGGTATTCTTAGGCTCCGTATGATTGTCTTTTCTTCGTCACGATGCATGTAGAGACGTAGGACTTTATCGGCCGAAGGAAGGTCTAGATGCCTGTTGATGGAGTTGGCATCTGAACAACAAGTTTCAAGTGTGAGACGCTCATTTCTTGAGGTGCCCCCGCATAAGACGGCTGCACCTTTAAAATAAAAACTGTGACCACTTTCCCCGACGTGAGCCGCAAGCTATTAGTTTGGGTCTAGTCTCCGAGTTGCCAGTTTGTGCTCATGTAGGCGGGTCTGCCATTTCCGTCCAGTTTCCCCAACGTAGTTGCAGTCCTCATCCTTACAACGTATTTGATAGACAACTGCTGAGGTTTCAGTGCGTGGCAGTATGTCTGGGTTGCATCAAACGGCGACGAATTGTTGCCTGGGGTCGATGGGCAATGTTTACCCTGGCGGGTTGTAACAGTCTTGAAACCGCCCCGGAGACTAGTTTAATGTAAGGCATAACCCTCCAGACTTCGGGTTGTTCTTCTTGTGGCCATCGGCTGTTCACTCGGCGCTTGTTTCGCTTGATGAAGTGGCTTGGGTATCCATTGGTTCGAAAGAGATCATGAAGGTATTGCCGTTCAACTCTTTTGTTGGCTGGTGTGCTGCAGTGTGTTTCAACTCTTTGGAACAGAGTACAGACACGGCTGCGTTTGTGAGAGAGGGGGATGATTGTTGTTGAAGTGCAGTATTTGTCTTGTGTTGGTGGCTTTTCTGAAAACGGTAGTTTGTAATTGTCCAGTTGCACACCGACGCACAAGGACATCGAGGAAGGGAAGTTGGTTGTTTGTTTCGGCTTCCATCGTGAATTGGACATTCTGGTCAGCCGAGTTCAGCAATTCTTTAAGGTGCTCCACGTCAGATGATTTGACAATGGCGAAGGTGTCATCGACGTAACGAGCCCAGAACTTTGGTTGATACTTGGTGAACACCAAGTGTTCTATCCGTTGAAGAACCACTTCATCAATCAGCCCCCCTAAACAGGACATCGGACCTGCGCATTATTTTGGAAAGGGCAGTACATTCCCGTGTCCTAACCCCTACAATTACTCTTCTACGAAACTAAAACGTTGCTCTAATCTTGACCCTAACCCTTTATCTCTGCAGTTAACCCCATGCTATGGATGACACGGACCATATATATGTTAGGTACCTGCTTCCAAGTCTACCTGGGAGCCACGAGTGGTTGGGCCTATACTCCGAGTCACACACAGAAAACACGCAAGATGGCCAGGGCAACAGCGACCCATAACGGTGAACTTCACTCGAAGGATGATCCTCAAGCAGTGGTGATCAAATACCTCCAGTTTTAGCTCATCCTCCTCGCGCAAAGCCCAGCATTCACAACCGTAGAGAAGGACAGACCGGACAGATGCAAGGTACACGCGAATCTTAGTGGCGATGGAGAGGTCACGTAGGATCCATAGGCATTTTCGAAGGCTTGAGAAAACCCAGCGGGCAGCATCGATTCGAGAGACAGCAGCCTCGCTCCGAGGTATTTAAAACTGTCTACGTCTTCAAATTGACAGCCATCAATCCCGAGGGGTGCCTTCTCCTAATCAGGGATGAAGCTTGAAAACACTTTGGTCTTCCCAGTGTTTATGGATAAACCGACCGATTTAGCGACCTCGTTCACTCGCGACACCATAGACTGCAGAACACCAAAACTTGAGGCAAGTAAGGCGATATCATCGGCATAGTCAAGCGCAATGACGGCATTGTGACATGGCGACCGTAAACCGCCATCAAATATGTTTGCTTGCCACCGCTGCCTTGTGGTTAGGCTTTGAAGCCAAAGCGCTAGAGGAGACAACCTCGAACAAACAATCCGAGCGGCTGTTTCGGACCTGCCCGTATTCGAAATTACCAAGAAACCTCATGAAATATGCCCGAAACCTCACTCGGGGCTCAGCATCAGGTGGCAAGGTCTCCTTACTGATTTTGCCTTTACGGTCCTTCTACTAATGCGCGTGGCGAGGTACATTTCGTGACGTCACCGAGGCCGGTTAGATCAGGCATGATCGCAGCCGTACCAAGTACAAGTGGTCAGACCGACTTATATAGCCCCCTTAAACAGGACATCGGAATAGGTGCGCCGCACCCCAGTAGTAAATGTGGACCTGCACATTATTTTGGAAAGGGCAGTACATTCCCGTCTCCTAACCCCTACAATTACTCTTCTACGAAACTAAAACGTTGCTCTTATCTTGACCCTAACCCTTTATCTCTTCAGTTAACACTAGTCCCTGCCTTAGCCCTAAACTTGGTCCTGATTTACCATTAACTTTAAACCTAGCCTTAGACCTAATCCCTAACCTAACCCTAATTTCGCTGGAAGCCACTCGTATCACAGGCGGTTGCCGTTCTCTTGTCCTGTTTTTGGGAGCCATATAAGTCAGTCCTGCCGTATGCATACTTGATCGTTCGTAACGTGCATTGTCCGCCATGCAGAGCACGTCGGCACGCAGTCGCGTTGTTCGATGCCACGATGATGAGCCGCGTCTGACTCCTGCTTTCTTATATTGTGGTACCCTTGACGCCAGTCGCCGAAACCCCTCTGATGTAGTTTTGGTAACAATCGGGAGAGGGCACCCAAATTCCGCTGCCTAGAAATAATACCTACTATATCTATTTGAGTAGGTTATAGCCCTACTTATTTGTTGTTTCATCCGTTGTTTCGCGTTGTTCGATGCCACGATGATGAGCCGCGTCGGACTCCTGCTTGTTCATGCTGTAGTACCCTTGACGACAGTCACGGAAACCTCTTTGAGGTGGTTTGTTGTCTTCTGAAGGTTTGTATCATATCCTTTCTTTAATATCACTTTCAATTCCTGCTTTCTCTCTCTCTCTCTCTCTCTCTCCGCTTTAGCGACGGACTGGTGAAGAGGATGAAGTCTGTCTGTTTCTTCGACGCTGCCGCCTCTACCGCATGGTGGATAAGGTGTGGAAGGAGCGCGGTATCGGTGAAATGAAGGTCCTCGTGAAGCCCAAGGCTCCCGCCCCAGCACAGCACACCAATGCTCGCACCGAACTGCCCGCTGATGTCGATTTGGGTGAAATCGACTATGCTCGTCTACTCATGCGTCGTGATCAGGTGCTGAAGATTTGCGCCAATCACACAATCACTGCCGAAGTGCCCAAGTTCAACCCGCTGTCCTCCGCAGCCAACGGTCTCTGTTGGGTAACAGAAGACTACAGTGAGGGTGCCGGAGAAATTATGACCCTGGGTATCAAGTTCAAGGTGAGTATATCTTCTCCACTTTTCTTTACGCTTTTGCGTCCTCCTGCGACCCGACTAACGAGCTTTGCGCAACCTCCTTTTATTACTACTTAGTGTGGGTTTCATTCACTGAGGAAGGGCAGCCTCCGTATGGTATACGAGTGCCTGTACAGGACTGTTATCACGCCTGACCTGTTTTGATCTCAATATTGTCGGGTCGTCCCTCTTAACGCGCGACGATTTCGGACATCGTATCTGGTAAACCTCATTTTACACTTACCATCAGCGAAGGCTGGATGTAGAAATCCCGAGAACTGCCTGAATATCTTGACGCTCCGTATCAAGTCAATTTTTAAGATGACCTCTTCGTCGATTCCCGCTTGGAGATAGCGTTGCATCTTTTGGATGGTCTGAGACATCGTCTCAATGCCGTCACAAAGAGCGGGCTGTCTTATTCAGGACGGAGTACTGACCCGCGGAATTGCCGAGCTGTTATCACGCCAATCACCAACGCTGATGATGGGAATCTGGCCATTAATGACTCGAATGCGGGTAAATAAGCCCGATGATTTACCTACGCACGCATCCGGCACGTCAGACGGAGATCTTGTTGCGTATCCTCAGTGTGTTGCATCGTCGATTTCATCCTGAGATGAATGATCATATGCCAATGCGTATGTTGGAGAGTGTTAGAACTCCGCCATAGGGGATGGATTGGTCGTAGAAGTTGAGAAAACATTCAAAGTGCACGCGTCCATGTTAGATTTTGAGCGTGTTGTCAGTAGTGAGGTTCTCAATGACATCTCAAACACTCAATGCAATGAACGTGCCATTATCTACACGAATAAGTTGGTAGGGTTCCCGAGCATCACCAATATTTGAAGCCCGTTCCACTGAAGTCACTTCTCCAACCTGCAGTATTCTGTAGCCGACTTTTCCGTCATTTTACGGACTTGGAGGCAGGAGTGGTTCAGTATCAGTATCAGTTTATTAAGGGAAATATAGGCAAGCGCCTTTGAACTCCCTCTTGGTTACAAGTCGTCGGAGAAAAACATTGATAAATGGGAAGGTGAAAAAGGGATTTTGTACATACTCGCGGACAGCTGGCAGCAGATAACTGTAGAGTTAGTCATCCTAATCCGACCATTTAGACGCCACCATATGAACCCAGATTGAGAATAAAGAGAACCTCTTCGTGTGAGACCGGATTTAGGCTCCCGGCACTTCGATCCCGTCTGAACCTTGGTACTGTTATCTGGGATCGCAGCCGAACCCTCGAGCGTACGCATATGAAATTACGCTCCGCGTCACGAACCAATTTACCATAATCCGCCCAGATCCAAAACGTTAATCTGATTGTCCAGTTGATCCTAGTTAAAACAACAGGTCAGCATCTATCTGCGATCATCCTGAGGGAGCCGCGGTTTGGCGTGCCCGTATCTTTGATCAGTCAATTTCTGAGGAGCCAACTCGACACTCAGATCAGTCATTACATTGCGGGGCGACGGTATGGTGAATGACCCCAATTATTTGTCGGTGTATACTATGGATCATGTCATACGGGAATGATGGTAATGGGTGGGGCAGCACACCAGACAGTAAGTTGACGGAACGGCCGCTGTGCTCTGCTGGCGTTTCTCTTGCATTCACTGACCGTTTAGCTACATCGATATTCTCTCATCGTTCCCCTACGACCGCTGTTCCCCCAGAGTTGAAACTCTCCTCTCGTGCGTCTCAGCTTTGATCGTCCAACGTATGAGGACGGTGGCGGAGGCACTCCACAAGCACGTTCCTAGCGGTCTCAATACAAGCTTTGTGTTTCTGGTAGATTCAGTTGGCCTTCGACTTCAGAACAAGAAGAAGATCTTTCACTGGAAGTTCCAGTTATTATTTTCCGACTTAACACTCTTAAACCTGAGGTAACATAATGAGTGGCATGCTTGACCTGGTAAGCAAAGGCTGCATGCAAGCGACGGGTGTTTCATTGGCAATTCATCCACAGTTGCCGATTGTTCCTATGGTCTCCACGCTAATAAAACAATAAGCAAGTGTTTACGACATGGTTTTCATAAGATACAGAACACGACGTCCTCTCGATCCATATCAAGCGCTCGGTGGCGGTTATAGCACTGTGAGCAATGCTATCATAGCAGTGGTTACGTACCACAAAAGGCGAAACAATCATGTTTTGAACAGACTCGAAAAAACCAACACCAAGCACTAGACGATCGAGCGTTGAGCCTTCGCTAACCAGAGGCGGCAACGGTAGGGTGAGGGCCCCCAATTAGCTATCGGCATATTGTGTATCGTGTCTTACGGGAATGGTGGTAATGGGTGGGGGGGAGGGTTTACGAGTGGGTCAGCACACCGGGCAGTAAGCTGACGGAATGCAGAAAAACACAGAAGACGGTCGGTGCCAAAAACCGTACTTTCGAGCAAAACGACAACTGTATGCAGATACGGTATCCAGCTGGATATTCCATGACGTTCCATCTAGAAAGAGTGCCTACCCATCGAACAACTGAGCCTACCCCTGGCAGACATTTCCTCCATCCCCCAATTTATGCTCAGTCGACCTCTGTTTTTTTCTCCGCTTTTTGATACAACTGCCAGTTATCAGTACTTAGCTAGATATCGCTAGTATATACACCAGCACACGATCCACAGTCTACCGACAGCCAATTACGTTCCTTTACCCTACCGTTGCTCGTTGTGGTTGTCATATATTTCCTACTGCCTTTCCCACCCTTCCTGTGTTTGTTATTACCACTGACGGTCGTTGCTGTTATGTTTTCTTTCAGACGGAACAAGACGTGAATGCGTTTAAAGCCGCCATCGAGCGGGCCAGGACGATGTTGAAAAAGTACGTTTGGGTCAAAAATATCGCCATTCAACCTACTGTTGTTTCTCTCCCACACTCCACTCCACAAACCTCCATATTAACGATAACATCCACATTACGTCGCATTGATCTCTTCTAACGCTTGTCTCTCTAGACCTGTATTATAATAGCCTTCCCCAAACAGGCCACGTGATAGATCCGCGCTGGTCCAAGACGGGGGCCATATCGGATTCTAGCAGGCGTTGTCGGATTGCGCGCACCATGACAAATGCCAACAGTTTGGGGTGCGGTGGCAGCAGACCCGATTGCTGGCAGCCGTCGCGCCCCCTACGACCCCTGCCGGTCCCTCCCATTGGTCAAAAAGGCCTGGTCATTCGTCGTATGGACCGGGGGGTGTGGGGTGGAACGCCAAGGTGCGGGCTCGGCCGTGCCATCCACCTGCGTCCTCCCCCGCCTCCCGCATTTTTGACTCAGTATTGACACCGGGTCTAGGTGGGGAGTAGGAGGAGAGGGTGTTGTAGGTGCTGTTCAAGTCCACCACCACTTTAACCTAATTCACGCACAACTCACCGTGCCTGCTTCAACTTGTTGTGGAGCAAATGGTTGACATCGTCAGAATCAACGGTCGAACTGTCGTTTTATAAAAGGCTCGTCCGTTACCCACGTGCAGGATCACCAAGGTGCCGGAGGATGCGCAGCAATTACTTACGTATCAATTTCTTTCGGTGAGGCCGGCTTGTGTCACATCTTCACTCCTTCGTGTGCCCACCATGTTCCAAAAACAAGAGAGATAGTCGTGGTTGCCGGAGTTGCTGGCGGTGGGGAAGATTGTTTTTCTTATGATGAACACTCAATTTTTGTCAAGGTAATCGACTTTCTGATTTTGGTCACACTATAGGCAGGAATGAGAGCTCCGTGGGATCCGGGCCGGTCGAACTGTCGTATTCGTACTTGTCCGAGTAGGTCAACGCTGTTCTGGAATGTGCGGGGACGTTGTGGACGGGGTAGGCCAACCAGACAGGTGCTGGTCGTGTTGCGGTGGATTCGCAGACCTCTTATATACATATATGAGCTATGTCAGCGGATGATCAACAAGGACCGTGGGTTCTATGACAGCACCTGCATTGAACTTATTGAACATCTTCATTGGTTATTGTTGCTAAACTAGTCAGGGAAGCGGCTGACGGCCATACCTAGAGGGAGTGTTCGGTAAGATGAGGTTATATAGCCGCACCTGATGGCCACAATACTGTTGACCTACTTAATTACTTTGAGTTGGTATGATTACGTTGGCAAGGCGTTGCTGTGCGTTGCAATGTTCTGTTGGCGGCCTTATTTCTTTGTTGCCGTGTCTACCTTTTTCGGCCCAATGCCCGTGGTCCTTCTAGACTTTCGGCCTGTCGTTTCCTTCTAACTTTCGCATTGGGTGTTTCAGGGTTAGAGTTAAGAGCTGCGGCCAGGGGTTAGGTGTAGGGGGTTAAGGCAACTATTTCTCAGCCATTCATATACAACCGTGCACTCCCAATAGCTTTTCTTTTACATACAATTGTTTGACCTCGTCGCCTGTGCGTTCCCCCGCTCCACTTGTAAAACCCCCCTATTACCACCGGTCCTGCATTGCAGGTGACTGAGGTTTGTTTACCTCAGATGCTACCACATAACCACATCTGACCGAATGTTTATTTGGAAATTCGGTTCAATTTTGCTAATTTATGCGTGTCGCTGAACGATACCCCAGACTACTCCTTTGACCTCTAATGAATTGAGATGCCCTCTCAGTAGCACCTTTATTTTCATTCCCACGCTCTAGTGAGCTTTGTGTGCCTAAGTAGTCTTGTCATCCGGCACTGCATCCAATTCACTGTGAATGACTTGCGATCAATTTAGAGAGCTACTGATTCTACTCCACCCACCTAGTGCGATCGCTCGGCGCTGCAGGATAGGAGCTTTTTCTAATTCCTTCTCTCTCTCGAGATCCCATCGCCATCTCGGTAAAACTGCTCAACCTCTCACCATTGCCCTGCGCCCTCACGCCTCACTTTTTTCCCTTCTCCAGGAAACAGTGAAGATTGGTTTACCCGCATTTGGAGTCAAGTCACGGACTTTGTTGCCGAACCAAGCTTCCATTGT